TTAATCAGAAAGAAACTCAAGGCTGAAATCTGAACTTTTCGAGTAGATACACCTAAACCTGCAGAAAAACCATCCTGTAGAAAGTGAAGAATGGTGCCGAGAGATGGATGAACACGCAGGCAGTGGTGTTTCTTACACCAATCAAGAAACCTGACCCATATACGAAAGTAAAATGTCTAATCGATCAAAGCAAAATAAAAATTCTGTCTTCTTGCAGACCTTGATGACGAAGAATCAACCTAGCAGTAGCCAGGCCATCAACCTGAACATCTTCAGAATCTCTAGTGGTAGATTCCAGTTCACTATGAGATCGTTCGAGATTGGAAGTTCCCAGTGTGTGGAGGCCAACTTCTTGAAAGCCGAGAACCAAACCCAGTTTGGTCAGTACAGAATAATAGCCTGGATCACAGCTCTGTCTGTTCTTATTTTCTGAAGAATCCTTGGAATTAGCTTCAGCTGAGGAGAGATGTAGGCCAGCGTGAAATTCCACTTCATTGACAATCCGTAATCCACTGAGGGCGATCTGCTCTGAACAGGGAGGCGAATTGGGGAACCTTGTTGTTTGTACTTCTTGCCATCAGGTCTATGTCTGGAACTCCAAAATTTCCTTTTCAGACTGTCGAAAATTCTTGGATTTAATGACCATTCTTTCTGATCCCACTTTCCCCTGCTGAGATCGTCGGCTATGATATCGTCGATCCCTCTGATGTGAACTGCTGAAATATCCTCTAGATATCTTTGTGCCCACTGCATAATTTCTGAGCACAGGAGATAAAGAGCTCTAACTCTGGTTCCTCCTTGTCGGTTGACCTCTGAAACCACCGTACAATTGTCTGATTGAATCCTTACGGCCTGCTGCAGTATCCACGGTCTGAAGAGATGAAAGGCGAACAGCACAGCTTTGAACTCCTTGAAATTTGCGGATTCTCGCTTTTCCTTGATTGACCATGCACCTTGATACATGATGGTACCTAGAGGAGCTCCCTGTTTTGGATGCATCGGTAGTGATCACTAACTAGATCTTTGGACAGAAAGACAAGCCTCTTGAGAGGAACTCTGAAGTTTCAACTAAGATAGTTGAGCTTTTAATTGAGGGGAAATCTGGAACCACACATCTAGATCCTATTCCTTTCTTGACCAGGCCGTTAGAATCTCCCACTGTAGATGCCTTACACTGGATTTTGCCCACTTGACGGCGGGAAAGGAGGATGTGAGGAAACCTAGAGTGCACGTAGCGTGTTTGATGGAACAACTTTCCTCCTTTTGCAAACTGGACACTATTCTTCAAATCTTCTCTCTTTTGTTTGGAAAGATGAACTGACAAGGTGTTTGAATTGATCATGAGAACTAGGAACCATCTCCCTTGTTGGAATAAGAATTGACTTAAATTTAGGACCCAACCACGATCCTGTAGTAAGCTTGATAGAAATCCGTAGGTCGTTGAGAAGAAGCTGTCTTGTTCTTGCTATAAGGGAGCCAGTCAGCCAGGTATGGTATGGTTCTTGCTATAAGGGAGCCAGTCAGCCAGGTATGGTATGACTCCTAACTCCCTTAAAAGAGCTGTAATGGGAGCCAATATCTTGGGGAATATTCTCAGGGCAGATGATAGACTAAACGGTAGAGCCCTGAACTGGAGATAATAGAAGGTCCTGCCCCTTTTTACTACTACCTTAGGAACTTTCTTGATAACACAGCAATTGGGACGTGCAGATATGTGTCCTTGAGTTCTAATTTTACCATGAAGTCACCTTGTTGTAGGATCAGAATTATAGAGGCAATCTACTCCATGCAAAACCTCTGATATGAAACAAAAAAACTATTTCAAATTCAGAATAGGGCGAAAAGAGTGGTCTGGTTTTGGAACGAGAAAGAGTCTTGAATACACCCCTTGGTACTTTTGATGTTCTGGAACTCTATGACTCCTTTCTGAAAAAGTAAAATAGTTTGGGAAAACAGGGCTTCTGACTTTTTGGAGTATGTGTAAGTGGAAACGAGAAAATTTGATCTTGACATTCTTGTGAAGTGAATTTTGTAGCCGTTTCGTACTAGATTTAGAATCCATGGATTGCTTGTAGTGCTTTCCCATGTATGGTAGAACCGTTGAATTCTTCCTCCCACTCTTGGCGTCAGAAAAGTTTACCTTTGAACGCTCTCTCAGATCTCTTGAAATCGATTTTTGTACAAAACTTCGATTTTCTTTCCTTTCCTTTGAAAATAACGAAGCCTCTCTTGGTATGATCTGTTTCTATACTGGAAATTCCTGTCACCTGCTTTCCATGCAAATTTCCTTTCCTGAGGTAGAGCCTTCTTAGTTTGACATTTGTTTTATGATTTCCTCTAAGGGAGACCCAAACTGCTTCTGCTTTTCCAAGAGAGGCTAACAAAGGACGAATTTAGACGCTGTATTATCCGTCCATGATCTTAACCATAAAGCTCGCCTTGCTACAGAGGATAAACCCATAATTCTAGATGCCAGCTTTAAAACTTCCACAGTCGTATCCATCAAAAAATAATTTGACAACCGTAAATTCTGAAACAATCGGATAAGTTGTTTATCCTGATCTGGAAACATGTCCTGCAATGAGTTGAGCCAAAAGCCATTAGCTCTGGCTACCGTAGCTCCTACCAGTAAGGCTTTGCACTGAAAGCCCGCTGAAAGGTTAGCCTGCAGGAGGTCTCAGCTCTTTTGTCCATAGAGGTTTTCTTAGAAAGTTGAGCTACCTGTATATCCACCTTAGGAAGCTCTTCCCAAATCTCGTCACCCTTGATTTTAAAAATTTCCTTAAAGTGCCGTGAAATAAAGGCTTGTTTTTCAGAATTTTTCCACTCTCTGTAGATTAAATCAATGAGTGGCTGTTGAACAGGAAAGCCCTTTTTTGATTTTGCAGACACATCTGGTACCATAATCAGGTTTACTTCCTTCATAAATTTGCGTAGCTCATCTGGAGGGAACCTAAGCATCTTACATGAAGATGAACTAGACGTGTTTGAATTTGTAGATTCAGAGAATTCACCAGATGACGTTTCAGATACAGAAGATCTTCTCCTTTTCTTGACCCTCTGACACATTTCAGGAATCGCAGCAGAAACTTTTTAAGATTCCCTAAAATTATCCAAGTTATCCTGAAACCAGGTTAGGAAAGATTGCATGTCTTTCTGTTTAGACTTTTCCAAGGAAATTGTAGTACACTGGCTGCATACTTTTTTCCTTGTGCCATCTGGAAGCAGATTTGCACACTCACTGCAAGCTAAATGCTTAGATTTTGACGTAGCCTTTCTAGGCGTAGGCATCGGCAATTTCTCATTTTCCATTTCTGGATATACAGGACTAGATATATCTGAAAACAAACAATGGCACAATTTAAAACTTGTCCTTTCTTAAATTTTGTTTCTACAGAGATAATTTTAAAGTTGCTAATCTCACCTCAAAATACCTCTGAGTTGTGTGGGGAGGCTGGTGACACGACATACCTCTTCTGGCAAGCATCCATGCTGTCAGTGGGTACCTGCATAGCTTTATACGGGTTGAAATTTCAACTTTCACGTTTTTTTTATTTTTATTTAAAAGTTCCAGTTTGCGCGTGTGCAATAGCGCCGCCGGAAAGCATACCTCTCGGGCGTACGTTCCACCGCTGTGCGCAGGGCTATATATTTCCAACCTTCGCCAAGGACCGCCTCCATCAAGACGCCGGAAACCTTCTCGGCATAAGAGCGCTGTGGCGGAACAGACCTCGCCACGTGTTCTTGGAGGGGGCTGCTTGCCCGCCTCCTACCTTCTGACTATGGCCCTGGGATATATGGCATTTGAAAACACTATTTGTGCCCTGTGACAAAACTGGAGATTGTGCACAAATATGACTGTTGTCCATATTTTTGTATGATTCCCTTTGTTTGTTGCACTGTTCCCCATGTATTTCATCTGTTGGTTGAAGCACATGGTGAGAACAATGGATGGCGGCCATTTTAACTCACAGACACTGTTTTGACTTTTCTACACAGTGCCATCTCGCCGGTATTTGGTGCACAAAGACATCGTTCAGTAGTTTTAAACTACAGAACAGGGGACACATTTAACAGTAATTATTTTTCATATAGCCTGTATATGTTCTGCGGAATCTGCATTAAACTGTATCGTCCAAACTACTGAACGGATCTGGGTGAATTTTGGATATGTGGTTCATCCAGATCCCCTAGTTCCGAGGATATATGGGGTTATTGCATGTTTTGGGGTCCCTGTGATATGTTTTATAATACTGTATTTTCCTGCCTGTGATAATTAAATTAGTCTATTGTGTTTAGATAATTGAACTCTACCAATACACAATATACATAAATAAGACTTGCTTTTCCCACCAAAAATCACAAATTTGCAGTGATGTTACTACTGCAAAGGATTCTGGGTGGGCACATATACGTTTAATACCTTAGGTAGTATTCTCTTAAAAAAGATATACATGTGAAGGGTTATTCAGGGAAACCTGACGAATATCAGTGTTACAATGTAACGTGCGTTAATTTTGGGGGGGTGGGGGAGAAATGGTTTGGAAATAGCAATGTGCTACTTGTACTTATAGTCCTATCACTTGCAAAAAGAAAAAGCTAAGAACATGTTAACGCTGGGTATTTCTAAAAATTAAAATTAGAAACTATTTAGCACGGGTGTTTTCTGGCGGCTGCAGATGTGCAACCAATTTTGTTGATCAGAGTTAGAAAAAGGTTTATTTTTTCATCATATTTTATAGTACATTATATATGATATGATAAAAATAATGGTATCTTTAGAAAGACCATTTAATGGCAAGAAAAACTGTATATATTATGTGTGGGTACAGTAAATGAGTAAGAGGAAAATTACAGCTAAACACAAACACCGCAGAAATGTAAAAACAGTCCTGGTCCTTAATGGTAAAAATTAAACAATGGTCTGGTCACTAAGGAGTTAAAAATCCCAATTTTAGAGCAATACTTACACGTTACTGCTGGATACAGATTACTTTGTTGTCACTTAGTCTGCATTTACCTTTTAGTTTCACACAATTGTTGTCTAACTGCAAGGAAGGGATGTCCTGTATGAACTCCGTTATGTGACCAGATTCTAAAAAAAATAAAAATAAAATAAATAAAAAGGGACACATTTAGCAATGTCTCTAAATTTAAGTATCATCAGAACTGCCTGCATGAGTAACCATCATATTACCAAGTTATCAAGAAGGCCTAAAATCATATAATACCGGTATTGAATGATCTCATTCTAGTAAGCATTTTTAAATGGAAAGTAAAGTAGAGAGGAAAAAAGAGAGAAAATTAGGTTTCAATAGCAAAACTGCCAGTTATTGAGGTCAGTACTTTAAAGTTGCTGTTAAAGTTAACTACATCAGATTAGCAAGCGCCCTTTGTTCTTGCTATGTTTTAAATCGGGTATTTCATAACTGGACATTATAACAACCAGGAGGAAATTGAGGAACCTTGCGTCATTTAATATAATATTTTTCTATTCCTAAAACACAACAAACCCTGACTCCATTCAGTAAAGAGAGCAATATTCATAAAGAAAATGTCCAATGTGGCAACCCTACATGTATGAAATGGCATATAGCAGGCATGTTTAGGTTGCTTCTGGTTTTAATAAGCTCCGTGGGACACCGGGTATTATGGATTCATTTATACTGAAGGTACAGCTATTTATTGTTTTGCTGGTGGTTATAATTGGTCACAACACTCAGTATCAAATTTCAACTACTGTGCAGACAGTATTGAGTTTTACATGCTTGCTTTTGGTAGTTTTTGCATAAGCATAGTAAAACAGCTTTAATTTCACCATACCAACTGTGTTTTTTTGTTTTTTGCATATGGCACAACAAGGAACCAAGGACAAAGCCACATTTCATGGCAATAAGGAGAGTCACTTGCAATTTAAAAATAATTCTCCAAGACCAAATGTTCTGGAATACTCTAGATTTTTAATCATGGCATAACTACATAGAATTATTTTCATTTCTAACCTAAGATTCAAGAACAAAAAAAAATAAATGTTAAACCATTACCTTTTATAATTTTTCTGTCTTCTGCAGCAAGCATCATATACCAGCCTAAAAGTTTTTGACCAGAAACTTCAAGACAGCCATGTTCTTTGACTAAATCATGCACCTGTCTAAAAATAAATGCAGAACAAATGTCACATAGGATAGCTGTCTTACACAGAACTACAGTAGAGCTAAAAATAGACTTAAAATTTGAACACCATTAATCTGTTCATTTAGATAAAAAGTAGTAACTTTCCATTATAATTTATGGACTTACCAAAATTTGATAAACGTAGCAGGTAGGTTGGACCTCCATAGATCAATCCATGAAACCAACCGGTTACAATGAGGCAGAGCACAAAGCATTAAATTTCCTTTTCATTCATTAAAGGGGAACGGTCACATCTCTGGAGATTACACTATTTCATAAAATATTGTAAATCAACTTTTGTTTACCTTTTGAGATGCTCCATTTTCTTTTAAATTTATATAAAAATTTAGCAAATTACATCATAATGCAGTTCAGAAAGGGCAATGCTAGGACAAACATTTCTTATGGAAAAGAGAAATTGTGTAATGTCTCCTCTTCTCTTTATGCTCTCTCCATGCGGACTGTCAGGAGCAAAGGACAGAGTTTATAACACTGATTAACAGGGAGCAAAGATGGAGGCACCCAGTTGTAAAATAAAGAGGTGTGGATTTCTGCATTTAACTTGACTGTTCACACCTCACAAATACATATTTGTTAAATCGTAATAAGTAAAGAAAATTATTAATACTCAGAAGTGACAGTACCCCTTTAATACTTATTTTAAGCCCTTAGCGAGCGCATGAAGGTACATGCCATCGCCGTCATGCAGTGCAGGGCTTTAATGGCTATTGACGGTACAGACCGAAGTTCTGAGTCTGCCCCCAGTTTAAAACAGGATGCTCTCAGTGAACTAGGCCACAAATCAGAATCTCCAGATTAACACGAGCTATATGCACTGCTCAAAGTGAACACTGAACATGACCCTTTAAATTCCTGCAGGTAATCCAGCCGATAGAATGCTCACAGATTGAAAATGCGTAAAGGAAGGACAAGAATTGAAAAAATTATTGTTGATATACAAACTTGTACCAACCCAAAAGCAATTGGGGATGTTTTTAATAAGTTTTATGCCAGTCTTTATGATCTCTCGCTTAGCCCCCTGGAGGATGATATAGTTCAATATTTAGATAAGATCGACCTGCCAAAATTGACAGGCAAACGATTAAGGGATTTTTATTTACACTTTTCTGTAAATGAAGTTATAGATGTAATCAAACATCGAAAATCGAACAAGGACCCCGGACCAGATGGTTACACCAATTTGTTCTATAAGAAATTTAAGAATGATTTGGTTAAACACTTCGTTAACACCTTCAATGCAATTAAAGATTCAGGTCACCCACCAAAAGAACTCCGACAGGCCACAATTACACCAATATTAAAATCAGGGAAAGATCCAACAAACCGTGCTAACTACAGACCGATGATATTGATAAACTCTGATATAAAAATATATTCCTCTGTGATTGCAAATAGGATAAAGTCTATAATTCCATCTTTAGTGCACCAGGATCAGATTGGATTTGTTCAAGGTCGCTTAGCAAGTAACAATTCACGTATGCTGGATTGGTCTGATCGAATATGCTTTTAAGAAAAAGGTTCCCCAGTTGGACCTGTTTTTAGATGCTGAAAAGACCTTTGGCAGGGTCAGCTGGAAATTTAGGAGTACAACTTTAGAAAAATGTGGTTTTATAGGACCAATAAAACCAGCAATGATGGCCCTTTATCAGAATCCAATGGCTAAAACAGTGGGTCCTGGCATTTTCACAGATTGGAACACCATAAAAAAAATGGAACAAGACAGGGCTGCCTTTCTCTCACCTCCTATAGGTTTTAACTTTGGAGCCTTTTGCTGCAAGTAACGCTCCAACGCTCAAATTAAAGGAGTTCTTTTAGACCAAACCGAATTTAAGCTAAAGAAGGAGGTAAGGGCTGCGCCAAAAGTCTGGTAGCAATAAATATACAATAGGAAACAGACCAAATGGTCTAAATGGCAATACAACAGTAAGTGGGGTGGAAAATAAAAAGTCTCACTAAAATAGCAGGGTGAAATAGGGGTGCAATCCTCGGGAGTTGATCTGTCCGGATGGTTAAAATAGCAGTATATGTGGAGAGACAAAGGGGGATATGACAAGCAGCCGATAGTGTAATACATCAAAATCCAAGGGTAAAATGGATTAAAAAAAAAAAGTTAGGTAATAAACTCACATTGAAGAGACCTTTAACCAACCAAAGCTCCAAGGTATATAAGAAACAACAATAGTGCTCTCAGTTGGTAAAAGAAAGACATAAAATATATAAAATTATACTCACAAGTGTAGAGCAAAAGGAACTGCTCTATTGTAATAGTGTTGGTTGAATGGTCACCACCTAAAATTTCTTTGAGTTCAGGATCAGTTAAAAATGCTATTCCATTTTGAAGAAGCCTTGAAAGGTGAAACACGTTAATGGTTTTATTTCTGTATTTTAGCAATAAAAGTTTTTGGGTTACTTAAAGCTGTACCAATTCTCTTTTTATTGTACTTTATATGCACTTTTTTTTTTTACACTTACTCCTGGCATTTTTAATGGATCCTGAACTCAAAGAAATCCTAGGTGGGAATCATTCCACCAACGCTATTACAATAGAGAAGTACCTTCTGCTCTACACTTGTGAGTATAATTTTGTTGTCTGGAGAGCCTTTTGAGGAGAGGGTATGATGAGATCAATGAGAGTGTAGTGTTTTGAATGGAATGGTGGCTGGACTGTATGGCTGGATAGAAGGAGATATAATGAGAAATTTGTGGTTGGATTATCTGGAATGAAAACTTTTGTATCATTTTCACAGATTTTGTAGAACAAACATAGGAAGATCTACTCCCCATCACCAAATTGTAGCAAACAATAAAACAAATTGGAGAATTGAGCCTATAGCAGAGTTGGAGAATTGTTCCAGAGAAGTCGATACAATTTGGTTTTCAATTCACTATTTTGTGATTAAACCTCACTGTGTTGAGCTGGGTTTCAAGTGTAGAGAGGTTAAGAACAAACTTTAGAAACAGATTTAGAAATAGAAACATAGGTTGAGACAGCAAGCAGAAATCTATTGAACAATCTAATTTCATCATATATAACATGAGCACATGAATAATGATATTTTCAAAATACATACCTGATAAGATTTCTTCTCCTCTCTTCTTTGCAACTTGTACAAATTACTTCATGGTCAGTATCTTCAGAAATAAAAAAATAAAAAAACAAAACACTTCTATTAATACATAAGATTAGCTGAATTAATATGCCTTCTGTCAGATCAAGAAAAACGATTAAAACATACCAAAAACTATATGCTATTTAAGCCTTCCATTTCTTTGAAAGAAGAAAATAAATAATTCAGGTACTCTTTACCATGTACAGTGGAGATGAAAAGAAAAAGAGTGGGGTTAACGGGACTCTATATGGAATTATTCAGAATAGCCTGGCAGGTGAATTTACTTGCAGTAACTTTCCAGTCTATACACAGCTTGATGTAGAAACTGGATTAGTCCCTACTTCCAGATAGTACCTCAAATTACTTTACTTTAAAAAAAAAACTGCATGTTCTATAAAATGAGAATAATCTCCCACACAAATAAGTTTTATCACAATGTTAAAGACTCTCATGAAACAAAATTGTTTATACAAGCGTCATGCTGACACGATTTTGTGACCCTTGACATTTGTTAAGTCAATCCTAGTTTTGTAATTTTTAAAGGGAGAGCCAATAATATTTATTTAAGGTTTATAGGATGCGTATTAACTCCATTAATTTGCAAATGTGATTAAAGTTGTCCAGGAATGAAACTATACTCAAGATTGTGTGCATGTGTCACCGGCAGCAGACCAAAACCGGTATTTTCACGGCATGTCTTGTTCTGAAATTACAAGCACGAGGAGAACAGCATCCACTTGTCACACAGAAGATGTAGGGTTGGCCAAGGCATTGGTGCAAATACTGCATTTATAAGCCAAAAATCAAATAAGTATGTGAAAGGAAAGTAGCATAATGCTTAAAAATATCTCATACAGGGCACTGGGCCTAATGCCAATATGACTTCATAAATAACTATATATCACCCAGACCACTTCAGCTCAATGAGCTCTCTGGATTGCAAGTAAGAGGGCTATTAAAACTATTGTTTTAACAAAAAAAAAACAAAAAAAATTGGGGGCCCTAAACTCCAAACAGCACAGCTAAAACTGTAGGCCAACACAAATAGCACCCACGCACAACTTCTAAGTGTTCCTTTGAACGGAGTCCTTTATTCTTTATATATGTATTGAGGTTTATCTGCCTTGAAGACTATTAGATATTAGAATAGAAAAAGAAAAATACATTTAGAATAGAGTTTTGCATAACTGCAATTGAAATTCAATACAGACAGTCAATCTGTATTCATCTCTCTGAAGTTTACTGCGCTGTGAAATTCAGCAACCATATTAAAGGCATAATTTGCAAACAAAGTTCCCTGGATTTCCCAGCGATGTAAACTTTAGAGAGATGAATACAGATTGACTCTTCTCAGGCCAGAGCTGCAGCTTTCTCGAGGGTAGGTGGATCAGGGGAGTCTGAGGTGTCTTCTCCATTGCCTGTCATATGGAGTACAGAGGGGGATGTAATATGGTATTACATCCTCCATGTGAACACAGCAGAACAGTCTGTTGCCACACATGGCAGAGAGCGCCACCTCAGAGAGCAAACAGAGGGTGGCTGAAAAGGAGAGAAGAGCTGAAAGAGGTGAGCAGGGAAGGGCACGCACCTCTATACAAAAGCAGCATGGTGTGGGGAGGCAAAAACAGGGAAATACAGTCTGCCCACATACAATCTACCACACACACATGCGGTCAGATGACCCCCCTCCCCCACATACAGTCACTGTTACAGCAACCCTCTTCCTCCACAAACAAATACTCTGTCACATCACGTCACTTACCCGACGCCAGAACAGAGCATTGAACATTAACCAATCAATCCAGGGCTTTAGGCAAGATAGGGGAACAATGGGGTCGTGCAAGCGGCCGCCCTGGGGTAGAGCAGGAGGGAGCAGTAATCTTTCTGTAGCTCCTGTCTGCTCCCCGCCCTGTATAGTGACAGCCAGGAGCCGGAATATGACATCATTTCAGCCCCGGCGTCACTACAGAGAGCAGACAGGGGCTACAGGAAGATTACTGCTTCCTCGCACACAGGATGAGCGAGCAGCCCCACTAGACCCCAGGGTAAGTCCACTCAGCTCTCCCAGGTAGGGAGGCTGGGAGAATTAAAATGGAAAATGTCTGTGTGCGCGCCTCTCTCTCTCTCCCCACCGCCAGTGTGTGTGTGCGCGCCTCTCTCTCTCTCTCTCCCCCCGCCAGTGTGTGTGTGCGCG